GGACTCATTACGTACTAGCTTTTGATCACTAGAAACGGTTTCTCGAACTTGATATTTATGGATGGTTTTTGAAATTCACTCGTGTCTAGTTGGTGGTTTAGATAGTGCGTACTACGAGAGATACTACTATGATAATCTAGTGTATTGCTGTTGCTATCAGGTGTGTATAAGGTGCTTGCTATCTGCCGAGGAAGAAGCAGTTTCTCTGTTGTAAGCTGTTCGCTATACCAGCAAGGAATTGGTTTGATACCATGCGTGCCACGTGCATGATCCCTGGCGTTTCTCCCAGTTGTCGCTGGAGAAAATTTTGATCACATGAGTTAGCTAGAGCCACGTTATCTGCATAGGTATAACCGAAACGTGTGATCAGCCTGTTATTATGTGCGTATGATTTATGTTCTGGTGCCTGATTAGAGTACTTCCTAGCCCATGGTGAGCATTGTGCTGCAATTGTCATGCGCCCCTTACTGAAAGCATGAGGAGCATGACAGGGTTCTATGCGTGATTTTGAGCTAATATCTGTATTCTCAGACTGGTGTTTCGTGTAAGTGCTAGTTGAGGGTGCGTTCGTGAGGGACTGGGTAACTCCATGTTTTCGAAGTAGTTGGGTAGATATGTAACGGCTGTTTTTTGTTTTCATAGGACTGGCAGTGGTAGGCGGAAATGAGTAAGCTCCTACAGTAGGTGAATTATGTCTAACTTGAGGAACATGACTAAGTTTAGATGACTTTCCATCTGTAGAATGAGCCGGTGACCCTTTTGAAGCTTTCGTACTTGTGGGCTTTATTGTTCCGGATCTAGTGTTTGGTTTAGGTTTTTCCCTATTAGTAGGCTTGTGTAATTTGGGCTGCTAGTCACTAGTAGGATTACCTGATAAACTGGGTTTCTGTTGAATGGTCTCAATAGTTCTTTTGGTGTTCCTTACGGAAATAGGACTTTTACCATATCGCCTTGAATTTACGCCGACCTGGGTGGCTACATGTGATTGCTGCTTCAAAGTAGCCGGACTACTAGCCTGTGCACCATATGATTTCTGGGGAGATTCAGAGTATACGAGTGAATTCAGCCAAGACGTTTTCGAGGGTTTGGCATCCGTACCAGTGTGCAAGGGATGTGCGTCAGTATTATGATTTGTTGTCATTTCTATGTCTGCGATTTCATTATGCGGAACTGAGTCTTCAGCAGTTACTTGACTACTGTTAGTTTGTGCATGCAATATTATCTGGTGCTCTTGATCATTAGGGAATACAACGAGGGAATTATCAACAACGGTTGTCTTACTGGAATTATCTTCATTTCGTTTACCTGTGCGGCATCGTCTTCAGCAATGAGTTAAATCAGGCACACTCCTGATATTGGTGTGGGGTGTTGAGGAGGTGAGAACTTTAGCAGACTCCGAAAATTTTTAGCCAGGTCAACAGACTTAAATTTGAAAAGTACAGGACATGGGTGGTTTGCAGATTTCTTAAGACGCAGAGCCTGACAGGCAGTTGGTGAAATGTTGCACGCCTGTAGACAGACTGCTTTATGTTTGACAATAGGGACATTGTCATGGGCTGAAACTCCTGCCCGGCCAAACGCCTGGAAGGCTGACATTAAGGTCGTCATCTTAGCGTTCAAACCGCAAGACTGGTACAAATCCAGAATTTCACGTGGAAGCTGCATTGAGCCAGTTCATACAAATTTTCAAACAGGTGACCCTGCCCTCCATCTCTCTATCCATCCCAAACAGCTGAAAACATTGTTCCCCTAGGATAAATCCAGGGAATCGTAAGCGCAAATTCTGCGTCCTGGTCGTCACATTCGGGGCTACTGAGAACAGAGAGACAAAGCTATGGAGCGGGGGCGGAAAAGTGAGAAAGCAGCGGCAAAATGCTTCAAAGTCGTTACCTCGCTAGAATCAGCTCTTTGGCGTCGGAGGAATACAAGGTAGATTCCATCGACATATATCAAATCTGGATGCATGGAAGTCATTGGGAGGCGAATACCTTCATCCAGGGCTTTGGGAGGAGCTATCAGCTCACATAGTCAACCTGTTGGCTGCTATCTTCAAGCGATCTCTGTTCAATGGAATATTGATGCCTGACCGGAAAGATGACATAGTAACCTGCTATTCACAAAAATGGATCCAGGCACTCTCCTGCAAACTACAAGCCATCAGTCTCACCGATATCAAGATTCTGAAAATAATCGTCAGGAAAGCTATCTGGTATGCCTGAGAAACAACTTATTTTTCAGGGCATAGCATCACTTCCGGAGGAATCCTACACTCCTGAGAAACCTTAGTGAGGTAAGAGAGAAGTAGACCAAGTCAGGGGACAACAGAAAATCCGTCAGCATCGTTTCCACAGGCTCCAGAAAAGGCTCCAACAAAGCACCTCACGTGTTGCGGTAAGATGCTTGCAAATAGTATTGCCACAAATACTTTTATCGGTAAACAAACTAACGTTTCACAAGTCATTTTTATACTTTTTTAATTAGTCTACTGAATCTACTGAATGTAATGGAGCCTTCAATTAATGCGCGCATTTTTGTTAAATTTAAACAATAACAATACCCTTGATTATATCGTGCACATAGCTTTCTCCTATGCAAAATGATCCCTCTGGTATTACCCTATTATCTTGTCTTATATATCTCTCGTATAACTGAATAGTTGTAGGTATGCTTCCTCCACGTATATGTAACATAAAAAATTGATACCTGCTAACTGGTATCCCCCATGTCCAAACAAATGAGAATACACATAATTATTATTAAGACTGGTTGTGAAATTAGAATGTCCTGGAACTCGATCAGGGCATTCCTCTTAGGAAGCAGACAGACAGTCAGGTTAACTCAAAACTCTAATCCTGGACAATTGCACTTAGTGGAATGCAGCAAGGCGCCGTACTCAGATCTCTCTTATTTCACTTGCATATCACCGAACCCCTATTGCCACACACGCAGGTGACTTGATAATCTGGAGAAAGTTGAAAGACTTTAGTGGCGTGCTCACACTGCAATGAGATATCAAAATTTTTTTGATTGGTCAAAAGTATGAACGTTCCCGACCAACACTGCGTGGGGCGCAACCACGCACACTGGATACGTATACTTTGTGATACATATCACCAAGAACAGACTGTCAACAAACACACATATTATATAGATACATATCACTTTGGTTCATACGAACTAGAGCAAACAACGCTCCCATGAATTCAGACTCATATGAATATAGGTGTCATGGCAAGTTAAGACTCAAGAATTGCAGCATACCGTCTCTTGGAGTCTGCTGGAATTTTCAGATCTCTATGGGCAGTACTCATAGCGTTTACCAGGATCTCTGGCGATGTGTTCACTTCTCACAGTTTCATTTACTTTCCCCTGTCATGTCGTGGGCAGAGGGGAGACTTCTCCACAGTGTTCACGATTTTAAGCTGAGACTACATACCATATTTATTCCCCATTTTCCTTCCATGGGGGTAACAACATTTCAGAGGACCTAACAGGAAGTTTCAAAAGCCAAGTTTGAACCGTATCGCTTTGGATTACCGGCTCTCACGCCGAGTCATGGACTCCTGTAACCGACCCCAAGAAGAACTGGCTCCATCACCTTCAACTCAATCATTCAAGAAGGGCTTATAAAAGCTCAGAGACTTATTAGAAAAGGATTAATGTGGACTTCAAGCCTTTTATCCTGTCTGAATCTAAATCATAATATAATTCGAGACTGATTTTTATCAGTGATCTACCACGCCGTCTAAGCCGCCCGACTCTCCTATAAGCTGACGACGTAAAGATATGGAGGGCGACAAAGTGTCCGGAGGACTCGGATAAGTTGCAGGAAGATCTAAACCTTCTGGAAGACTGGGTAGTGGCCAGTGACATGACTTTCAACCTGAAAAAGTGCAGAGTAGTGAAGTTGCGAGCCTGTAGACTGCAGAATGCAAGTTACACCCCGCGCAATGAAAGTTTGTCCTGCACAACGTCGGAACGCGACTTAGGTCTAGTTCTAATGGAAAAAATGGACACAAGCGTAAATTACACGGGGGATGTAGCGAGGGCATATGCGGTCATACACTTTACGCATAGACAGTTAGGTGCACTCACTCCTGAGCTCTTTCTAAGGTTGCACAAAACATACGTCAGGCTGCACCTGAAGGTGCATAATATTATTGCACCCCCAATGCTTAGAAGAGACGCCAACCTCTTGGAAAGAGTCCAACGACGGGCAACAAATGGAGTGGTTGGTCTCCGAAATAAACCATATGATGAAAGGCTGAAGAAATTAGGCCTGTTCACACTTGGCTACCGTCGGCTTAGGGGGATTTGATTACTGCCTACAAAATAACAAATGACCAGAATCACCCAAACAAAGGTGTTCTGCCTTTGAGTAGGTATAGGCTCCCACGTGGAAATCCCAGAAGGATAGCTCACTAGAGGGCAAGGACCCGGGTGCGCTCCCACTTTTTTTCACTGTGAGTTTGCCATCCCTAGAATTCTTTACCGGCAGATGTAGCTATGGCACCGTTTGTGGACGCCTTTAAGCGAAGGCTGGACAACCATGCAGCGACACAAGGACTGCATCCAAATGGCCTATCCCCTTAAAATCGCATACACCATTCAGGGGTAGACAATTAAACTCGTCGTTTTACTTCTTTACATTCTCTCCCGTCTTACTCTCCTGACAACTTATTATCATTAATATTATTATTGTTATTACCGATATATATACATATATTATTCTTCAAATTTAATCAGCTGCCTGTTGTTACGCTTTCCTATTTCCGTTTCTGTCCGTTAGTCTGAATAACTTCACCAATTATATCTATTATTAGCATGATTATTACTATCTCTTTTCTCTTGTCGACGATACCGGAGAACTAACTGGCGAAAGGATCAACTCCACTCACAGTAGTAACTGTCTTAACACACCTCATACTACAAACCATATATAATTAATCCCAGCACGACTCATTTTGGAGACAACCAAAGTCGAGTGGCGGGATGAGCTACGCAGAAGTTTGACGAAGACCAGGAACCTATAACTTACAATCAAGAAGCTAGCACAAAGAAATCAAATTGGTTTTTACTAGCTCGTGAAAACGATATTGGATATTGAACATATTGTATAATATTGAAACTTGACTTCTAAATATTTAATTTCCCTCCTGTTTATATATTCGTAAGAAACCTGAAAGACTTCAGACTTTCTTTCTCCCTAAAGTTCTGGAGTTAATATTAAAATAAGCACATTGAACATAGGACAGACTATCGTGATCTTTCAAATTGCTGCAAGATGTCGTTGTCGAAATATCTGTCTCCCCCGTTGACTTCCCTACCCCTATGTCTCCCTCGTTACTATGGTGGAGTGATTCTTGTGGGTGTAGGTGCTCTCGGGCTTAACATGTATTTTGTCCGTCGAGTTATCAAGGCTCGTAAGGAACACAATGTTGAAGTAAGTTTGTTTTTGAAATGTATATTTTCAGTTACCGCTTCTTTACCATCCAACCAACAAAGTTTTCAACTGTATTCAGAGAGGACATCAGAATTAGTATGTTTAGGTTTTACTGCCTAATTTATTTACAGTTTGGAGATTCTACCTTTCTTCCTCATGACATTGTTCGTTGGTGGTTTACGTTATCCGGTTTGTTACAATTTGTTTGCTTATAATATAATGTAGCGCACATATACTGCTTGTGGTGTGATATTCCTTATCGGTCGTCTGCTATATTTCCAAGGGTATGCCACTGGAGGTAAGGGGTTTATTTACTATTGCATTGTAAAAATCTACTATTATTACTTGTTCAGTGTACTCTTCCTAAGAAGATGCTGATTGAAATTTATATGTATATATATAGTTTTGAGGTTTGGCTGTGATTTGAACCGTTGACATTTAGTTTGTTTCCCACGCCTACTTTAGCGCAGACAACTGGGTGTCCTTGATCGTCATACGATAAGTGTGGCTCATAGCTTGGTACATGGAAAGTCTGTTCTGAGTAACTGAATTCTAAGTATCTGGAATTTACAAGCAAAGTGAATTTTTGTTGGAAGGCCTGAAGTAAACCAGTAACAACCATTCCGGTCGACTTTACCACTGACGTCGAACACGAATTGAGCAGGAATACAATTAGAAAAATTGTTTTAAAAGTGATTATCAGTTGTGATGTTCTAAGATCGGTTTATATATTTCTTCTCTAGTATATTTCAAAATCCCAATCAACCCAAAAAGCCAGTTATGGCTTTTCCCGCATACGAATGTTTTAGTTACTCCGCCTAATCTATTATTCACTCACTAACCAAACCTTTGGAACTCGTTAAGCAAATTCAGAACAGTAGGCATAATTTGATTAGTTTGTACCACCTGTCACTCTAATTGATAGTCGGTCGCGTACCAGAGTGGCTGCTATGGTTTGACTTCAATGTTGGAAATATGGAAACGCTTGGTTCAACTGTTGTAGGTTGTCAGGGTCCGAGTTGGATTCATTTTCTTGTACATTTCGGGTAGGTAGTACATAATTCTTATGTACTAGCATATGTTCTACGGTTGATGTTTAATTCGATCTCAAAAGCAATTGCTTGAGAGTAAGAAGCTTAAAATTATAAGTCCCACTTGTAGTCATTTTAACTGATTGACAATTAGTTCAACTTTTGTTTCGAAGTAAACATAGTAAGGAAACATAACCCTGCCTTCGTGTTCAGTGTTTCAGTCACATAGGAGTTCATATTGGGGTATAACTTTAGAAATGTAACTCTTCAACCTTAACGCCTAGTGGTCAATCAGTAAGTTACGAGTTCGAACCCCGCTTCTAATATGCGTTGAATGATTAGATTGTGTCACCATCTCCTGTACAATAAAGGTAACATGATACATAACAGAGATAAATATATCCATGACTGTGTTCGTTAACATTTCTCAACGGTATGCCACTTTACTTAATTTGGAGCGATAATCTTTAACTAATTATTTCGTGTGTTTGCTTGGATTTATAGTATAAATAGAAACGATTTATTGATCTAAAGCATCTCGTTTATAATTTATTTAATCATATGTACCAACTGTCATTTTTTCTTTTTCTAAAGATCCCGCAAAGCGTCGTAATGGTGCTGTTGCCATGGTTGGGGGAATTCCAATGATACTGGGTCTCTTTGTTTTCGGTGTTCAGCATTTAGTAGCCAGTATAAGGTATAGTGCCGAATAACTTATTACTTTCGTTGTTGAATTGATTAATTAACTTCATTTCACAGGCGGTGAATCGTTTTTTTTTTGAGTGGCATTGCCTGAATTTATAGCTGGTGTTATTTTCGACTAATTGTACACTTTGTGTATTTAATTGTATCTACCTGGAATAATGTTCCATGTGTGTTTGTTAGGAAAGTTCTAGTGACGTAGAGTTGAAACACTATCTTTTACCAAATGCGTAAGATTAGTTCCTACAACTTGAGCACATATCTTTCAATCACCACTCCGCTTACCCAGTAGCCAGTTAGTATCGTCAGCCTATACATAGAGGGGCAGAACGGCTCCCGTAGACGGTCTTTCTCTTCAGTTTGAGTTTTTAAGCCATGGTTGTATACACGTATACTTCCAAAACAATAGGGTAGTTCATCAGATTTTCAGCCTGAGACTTATTGGTCCTGTGTTTATTACATTATTAGGTGTTTTGTTACATGTATATGGGATATTCATCTCCTTTTTATAAACTTTAAGTCGCGCTTACAGCTTATACGCACGCATTTAGTTTGTCCCAGGGATTTTCTTTTAATAAAGCCCCATATATTGCGTGTCACGTGGTTGACTTGAAACCCTTTAATTCAAGAGAACTAAATAATTGGCATACCACTTCCATTTCTTGTGAAGGAATGTCTTAATGGTTTTTTTTCGAAAAAGTGCAGTATTACCCTTTCATTCCTTGCCATTCCAGGTGGAATATAAAAAAAGCCTCAGGTTTAAGTTTTAAAGCATCAGTCATGGTAGTGCTTCTTTTTACGGGGTGTGGTTGTCAGCCTCATGCTCAACCCTCTCTTTTGAACAAACTTACTACCTGAGCTAAGCGGCAGGGAACCGCATGTGTGTGGAAGCATTGCATTGATGTTATAATAAAATTGGTGTAATTTGTATTCTTTTTCCTATTTGAGAATCACAGTCATAATGCATTTTCTTTTCCAGATGTACTTCTTGTGCATTACGAGGTTAAGGCAGACCTTTGGTGGTGATACTATAGGAACCTACATTCATGGTGATTTGAACATTTGATCTCTTCATATAATAGTAGACCTTATTTTTATCAATATCATGCATGCATTTAGAATAAAGTGTTAATTAACAGATATAATTGTTTTTTTGATTTATATGCTTTTTCGTTTAATATTTAGGACTTGTAATTTTAAAGATCTTCTCATACAGCAATCGACAGTTTATGTGTTAGTGTACGTCATACTGTGAACTTAGTGTCACATTAATTCAAACTAAGTTGACACTTGTAATAGTGGAATAAAATATTACCTAATAGCTGCTTAAAATTCAATTCACCTAGGAATGAGCCATATGTATTGTGCGAGGGCTGACTATTGATGCCAACTGGGTGGGGAGAAGGATTCCAGTCTGTCTTTGATATATAGCTAGCTTATTAGTTCTGTCTACTTAAGACGGTGGTCATCCGGTAACAGACATAACTGAAGTCTAACGCACAACCGATCGTCTTTCTGGGCTTATCTCAATGGCCCAGAAAGTTCTCTTGCGTTGGGTATTACTTGTATAAGTCATATCAACTATTTTTCTTTATTCTGGAATTCCTAACATAAGAAATTAACTTTCATATCGGAAAAAATTGATAAGGCATCACGACTTTTGTGAAACTCAGTATGTTGCATCACATACTTACTATAAGTTATATGAATTCCTTAGAAATGGAATGAATCTCTTTTAAGTGTGCCATGCACAGTGGATATCCCCTTGGAAAATTTTTAGAATATTGGTTGTGTTTTTTTTATAACTGAGTTATTATAACGAAATATCGGAAATATTTTTTACGAAAGTTATGTGATCCATTCTCATGCCGAAAGTTTAAAAATATCTGAATCAGTAGTAAATCGAAAGAAAGAGGGGGGAGAGGGGGTCCATCACCCGGGGTTAGTTAGGTACGTTTAAACAGGAAACAATATAACTGATAACGAAATGCACCACTCAAAAAGAATTAAAGAGAAGTTCTCTTCCGATAAAAAGTATGAGAATGATCTGATCAGCAGGCACTTGTATTACTAAACCAGAGAAGAACATGTGTTATAGGAATTACGCATGTCTATTCTGTTTTTGGTGCTTCTTTTGGGGACTCTGGTGGTGATGGCGGCGAAGTATCTGTCTTCGGAGCATCAGCTTCGGTCGGTTGGGGTGCTTTAGCTTCTACGGTGGGTGTTACTGCCGGTGGTGGTGAGGGCGTCTCGCTGGTAGACACTGGCAAAGGTGTGTTGCTGGTAGGGGGTGGCGAAGGCATGTCACTCGCAGGGGGTGGCGAAGGCGTCTTACTTGCAGCCGGTGGTGAGGGTGTGTCACTCGTACGGGGTGTTGAAGGCGTCTTACTGGCAGGTGGTGTCGATGGTGTGTTACTGGTAGGCGGTGGAGTTGCTTCATTCACTACTTCTGTTGGTGTTTTAACGTCATCTAGCGTCGTTGGTGTAGATTGTGGAGAAACTTGTCCGGCCGCGGCTAACTCTAATTCCTCACTGAGTGATTTAGGTGTTTGATCTTCAGCTGGTTGCCTTTTCTCAGTTTTTGGTTGTAGTAGAATAGAACTACTTGTTTCTACAGGAGGTTCTCCTGGTTCTTTCGGTAAGACGTCGTTCTTAGATGGTTGTTCAGTTACATCAGTAGTTGTTTTTTGTGGTGATGAAGTTGGCTTACTGTCTGATAATTTTTTCTCTGCGACTGGTTGTTTTTCAGGTGGAGTAGTGGGCTTTTTTTCCACAGGTGGTGGTGGTAGTTGTTCAACTTTCTTCGGACGGACAACTTTTTTCTCTGAGATATGAAAAGACAAAAACAAATAAGTTTCAGTAGAGTAGGATGTATAAATGCTGTACGAAAATTTACATGAAATTAGTCATCTCCGGTGCTTTTAATCAAGTTAGTGTTGCCCGAATCTAGTTCTTACTGAATAGTTTGAAAAAGATGGAATTTAAATTACCTGTTGTTATGAAAGTAGTTATTATTTGGAAGTTAATATAATGTCTTATATTATTAGGATTTGTATTCAGTCCTTCAAATGTTGAAAATGCTGACCAACTGTGCTTTCGTCCCTCAGGGTTCGATTCCTGACCGACTCGCTATTAAATTAGCCTAGTTTAATAGCTGGGTAGTAAATCAGTAAAAGCGGAAAGACTGAGCGGTCTCATACGGTAAAACTAAAAGACAGAAACTTCAAAGCTTTGAGATTGAACCTCACTGGCTGCACTTGAAACGCAAAAGAACAAAACAGGATTTTTAGTATGATTTCTATAGATTGTGTTCCATCTCTCTACTTGACTGTGGGTTAAACGGAGGTGGATGAAGCTTTGAGTTAAGTCGAATAGGTCTTTAATGTCAGTTTACTGCTCCTTTGACCTTTGCTTCGTTATGTTGCTAGTCTTACAGTTGTGATTACTTAGACAAATAGAAAATCAAAACAAGTGATAATTCAGCGAAGAGACTCTTTTCAACGAATTTATCATCAAGCTGTACGATCATATATATACGTGGTTTTTAAGAAGTTATATCCGGCGAGGGAATTGAATCATAGGTGTGAATGCATGAAGTAATAGTATGAAATGCAATTAAAACTAAAATGTTTGTGATATCATGAAACGCAGGATATTACAGTCCCTGAAAAGAACATTCCCTACTGCATCTCTGAGAATAGCTTTTACCAGCCATTACTGTTCAATAACCTGAAGGACAAGATCCCGCTGTTGACCAACTCTGTGTGTTTATCACTTCACCTGCTCATGTGGAGCTAGGCATACCGGTCATTCGACTCGACACTATCCTGCATGGTTACGAAGAGGTGGAAGTGGAGCAATAAGAAGCGCGATCATTAAACATCTGGTCGATAATGATCACTCTACCTCTACAGCCTCCGCCTGTAAAGTCATCTACAAGGCAAAGAGTAATTTACCCAAATCCCTACGTACCCGACTCATCTGCATTGCTGAAGCTTTGGTTATTGAAACAGAAAAGCCAGATATCTGTGTACAGAAAAAGTTCGTTTAACCTCTCCAACTTTTATGATCTTAATCCCTCTATACTAAAGTATAGTAATCCCCAATCATATTTTAGCTCTACCAATTTTTCATTTTGTCTATTCAATTTGTAGTCTCTTCCTTATTACATCAAATGTTACTATTACTACTCTCACTTTGAACTGTCCTCGGTATTATTTCACTTGTTCCAGTTGTCATTCTAAATCAATTCTTTTTTTACAACGTTAAATTCTATGTGATAGGATCCCACATATTTTGGTATTGACTGTTAAACTTGCATATATGGTATGTTATCATTCTCACACATTTTGGTATTGACTGCTAATTTTGTATATTATCATTCTCACGCATTTTGGTAGTGACTGCTAATTTTATATATATGGTATATTATCATTCCCACACATTTTGTTACTGACTGTCAATGTCGCACATATGGCATATTATCATTTCTCACACACTTTGTTATTGGCTATTAAGGTCATTTATTTCAAATGCTGTTAGCTGTCCATATTGTTGTAAAATGTATAAATACCATGGTTTTCTTTATCGTTGTTGTACCTCAATACACAGTCACAGTCCAGCCTTTGTCTTTTGATATTTGCGTGCTTTACTAAGTCGGAAGGTACGACGAGCAGATAGACAGATTAGTTCAGGCGCAGACAGAATAAGGTGAAAACGTCTTCATTCAATCCCCTACAGATATAACACTATGCTATCAAATTTCACACAATATTATGTAACGTTTTTATTTTATTCGATTTGTCTACTAATCCTATAATTGCACACCCTTTTTCAAGTTCTATCCATCCTATGAATTATTCTATGTATGACATTAATTGTTTTGCCACTTGACACTTAACTATGATTATAATCACAAACATTTTAATTTTAATTGCATTTCATACTATTATTATTATTATTATTTTATGAATTCACACCTATGATTCAATTCCCTCACCGGAAATAACTTCTTAAAAAAACCATATATATATATAATTGTACAGCTTGATAATAAATTGGTTGAAAACAGTCTCTTCACTGAATCACTTGTTTTGATTTTCTATATTTCGACAAAAGCAATTGCCGGAAATCATCCCGAAACAGGTCTTTCATTTCCTTCAGGCTAAGACTTGATGATACTGCTACGCAGTTGCCCAGGCCAAAGCAGGCGGTACAGGTTTTGAACCTATGGTACATTAGTTGAAAACTAAATGTTTAAGCCATTCCTTTGTGTCATTAGTAGACATTGAAACCTCTAAGTTTCAGTGGCGGTAGTGGTGTTGTTTTCTTCTCACGAGGTGGGGTTGTAAGTCTCACGCACGCCGAGCCTGCCCTGTTTTCCGGGCTTGCTACCAGCCATTTGAGTCTAAGGATTGGATATTCTGAGAATCGAACCCCAGGGTCACGTGTAGTGTGGTCGGCTAGCATTCTACCACCGACACAGACATAAACTATAGTAATATTGATTGCTTTTCAGAATTAGGTTGGTAGTGTGGAGTTTTTAAAACTTTTTATTCCATTTGCGTCCCCAATGGGACATAGGGCTTTGAGCTTGAGGTTTGAAGTTTCTGTGACATATTATGTTATTTTTATGGGGTGGGGTTGCTAGCCTCAAGCGCAAACTACCCTTTTTAGCGAACCTATTTCCGGTTGATAGAGGTTCAGGGGATGGAATCCCGAAACCCATGCATGGTTGGTTAGGATTCTACTGCTGTACCGCTGACGCCCCAAAGAAGAAAATTATGGATTATACGTCCTGTTCTATTCAGTGGAATGCGAATCTTGTTTTTCCATATCTATCTATAACTCAGCTATTGAAAATCCGAAATACCTGACTGTAAAGCCTATCTATGGAGTAGATATCAAGTCACGTCGTTGGTTCAGCGGATTTTAACGCTGTCAGACACGAAGTTGTGTCCTTGTTGACGTGTAGTAAACAAGATACTTTTATATTACTACTATTATTATTCTTTTGGGTTCCGAGTGGAATATAGGGCTTCAATAACACATCTCCACTTTGTCCTATTTCCTGCCACCCTCTTCAGCTTACTCCAAGATTGCTCACAGTCTTTCATCTCCTCCGCCCCAAACGATCTCCTCCATGTCATCCTAGCACTGACGACCCACTTGTCGTTTCCCAGTCAGGTCCTAGTATAGCGATGGTCTACATCCCACGTGACTTCATTCGACGGCCCAATAAACCCACCTCCATTCTCTCCTACATATTTATTGAGCAGTCGGCTCCTGGTTGGTTCGTTACCAGACAGAGTTTCTGGTTGTTAATTCTTTCTGACGCGCTGGATGGCTGACCATTTGGTCTTCAGTATGGAGCCAGCCAACCAGCGAATCGGACAGCTGTTGATAAAACTCTGTAACTGGCTGTTGGAAATCCTTTTCATGACACACAGTGCAAGTTTCTGATCCTTATAGAAGAACTGACTGACTGACTTAGTGTTCGTGTTGGAAATGTGAATCTTGTTGTTTATGCTGAGGTGTAGTACAGAAGATTTCCAAACAGGTTTCAGGTTGATGAATGTGTATCTTGCCATTCGGATTCTGGCTGGATGGCTTTGACATTTTCATCTATGGTGATATCCGACTGTCGACAAAAGGGCGGGTGTACTGCTCAGAAGTCCTCCTTTATAATTGTGAGACCTGTCCATTGAGAGTGGAAGACATGAAAAGATTAGCTGTCTTCGACCATAGGTGCCTGCATTCTATCTCCCGTGTGAAGTGGTTTAATAAGGTGAGCAATATTCAGATTATGTGTCTGGTGCTAGGTAAGGAGGGGAAATCAATCGACGAGGCTGTGAAATTACATCAACTGAGATGGTTAGGACATATATTACGTAAGCCTAGTCATCGTCTTCCTTGACAATAGGAAATGTTAGCTGGCATTGGATCAGACTGGAAAATAGCTAGTGAGTGGTGGTCAAATCAAACATGGCACCAGTCAATGAAGTCCACAACAGTTAGTTTCAGCTAGTCACGTAGGAAGGTGTAGACTACCTGACTAACTGGTTGGGGTCCTCAGGACGGTAAAAAGCAATCGTTGAAAACAATTGGTGATATGGCCCAAAATCGTTCTCAATGGCTGGCTGGTGCAGATGCATCCACTTCTTGTGACTTATGATTTCCGATGAAACTATACTGTTCTTCGTTATTACTATTCCTTTTGTCTCACCTCTGTTTACTGTCTCTATTATTCATTTCTTCTACTTTCTTCTATTGCTTTGTGTGCTACATAACATAACATAACATAACATAAGGTTTATTCCAAATCAGTACTTGTGATACAGAATGGAATTCTCAGCATTTTACTACAATATTGCATCCAGTTTTTTTTTACATTAACAATAAATAAAGTTCTACATAGTTTAAAGTTATCTCAACAACATATTAGTATGTCGGTAGCAAAGCCAAAATTAAAGTGTTTGAAGGTGTTAGAAAAGTAGATACTTCTAGCATATTTACTGGCGTAAGCGATAGCAAAATGTTCGAGATGTACAGAGTGTGAAAGAACGAACAAGAATGTTTTAAGTAGAGTTTGCAAGGAAGAGAGAAACAAAACAGCACATAACAAAAATAAATACAGAATGAAAGAGCGAGAAAACGTTGTACCTATAAATGATGTGAGTTGGAAAGACAAGATCCATTGGTTCTACTGACTATTTAATAAGTTAAAGGTTTCATGCCTGATGCATTCTTTATTGCACAGAACACGAGCTAAGTAGGGTATGGATGAGTTTTTGTACCTACTAGTGCGGGCATATGGTTTCCTATATAGGCTTCTTGTTTTCCCTGAAGAGATACATGGGGACAGTTGTGAATGTAGAGGGTGTTGTGAGTCAGATAAAATGGATTTCGCCCATTTTTCACATGAGTCCATATGCCTGTCCACCAGAATATTAACTAGCTGGCTAAGTGGCAAGCTGCTTACCCTGCTGACAACCTTTAACATCCTACGTAATAAGGTATAGTCTTTCTTCAATAGCCCAGGAAAGACTAAGGGGGAGCAATAGAGAATAATAGGCAGAATACGGGAGTTAACAAATTGTAGGAGTAAGGGTTGGGTTACACCAGAATGCCTTAACTTCTTGATGTAGAAGGTAAGACGGTATATTTTCTTGGAAATCGTCAAGATATGAGACGACCAGGAAAGATCAGAAGATAGAGTGACGCCTAGGTAGGAGTGAAGGAGTGTGGCGACTTGAACTGGTGCACATTGGTGCAAAGTTCTATGTCGAAAACAGACACAGACATCTATAGTGATTGACTGTGGTTGAAACGACGCTTTCTAACCTGATAAGTGAAGAAAGTGGTCTCTTTGAAATTTCTCGCTCTGATAGTAATTGGTACTGGTTGTTGCTATTGGTTGGTTGGTTGGTAACCTTCATCACCTTAGTCTTCTCTGTAATCACTTGGTGTCCTGTCTTCGTTGCTTCTTAGTGCATAATTATTGAAACTAATTAACTGAATCTCATTATTCCACTTTCCACAGAAAGTCTGTCTGTCTGTCTGTTTTCGACATAGAACTTTGCACAAATGTACGGAAGTTCAAGTTGCCACACTCCGTGTAGCACGCGAAGCAAAAGAAGAAAGTACAAGAAAAGTATAATAGAAACAATGAGCAGAGGTAAGAGACAAAGGAGGAGTAATAAAGAAAAACAAAACAGTTTCATTGGAGATCATATGTCACAAGGAGTGGATGCATCCGCGTTAGCCATTGAGAACGATCTTGAGCCATGTCACCAATTGTTTCCAACCATAGATTTTTACCGTCCCGAGGACCCCAGCCTGGAAGTCTACACCTTCCTACGTGGCTTAGACCAACTGTTGTGGATTTCATTGACTGGTGAGGCCAAGTTTTTGTTTGACCGCCGCTAGCTTTTTTCCAGCCTGACCCTATATCCGCTAAAATTCCACAGAAAGACACCTGTTCGAGTTGTTACACTTGATATAGAAGCATTATGAGAAGTAATGCACGGTAGAACAAAAATATGAGAATTTAATAGATCTACTCTATTATACAGAGTGAATCCATCTACACCATTGAGAAAGATTTTGATTTTTTGCTACCAACAATCTTAAGTCATTGGTTGTTAGCATTCTCAGGATGCCAACTAAACAGTCTATACCTCACTACTTGCCTAGCTGAAATCAGGTTCATTGATTGATTCCATATTTTGAGTTGATCACCTCCCTGACTCTTCGGCTTGATGAGAAAGGCGATGGCTTGTTATACACACCACATGTTCTAGTCATCTCAGCTGATGTAGCTTCACAATTCTATCAACTGACTTTCACTCTTCACCTCATCTGTATGGCTTCATCAGTCAAATTTAGTCAATTTAGCAAAAATATTCATTCAGACATCTATAAAATACAAAACAAATTGAGCAAAGAATATCCTTTTCGATAGATTCCTCTTCTGGCTCTACATTTATATATATATATATATATATATATATATATATATTTATATACATAGAATATTCTAGATTAGTAGTCAATAACAATATTGGTGTGCTTTTTAAATAATATCGATTTGTAAAGTTTGTCTTTTACTCCCAAATGCAAAAGAGGAGTTGTTTTGAAGACACAGAGTAATTCAGCAGCAGGGAATGCTCTCCATTTTACCGCATTTCTAAGGCGCTATGCTAGCATCTCGCTGATGTTGTCCCCAAGGAACTGCATTTGTAAGAATAAGGCCTTTTTTGGAACTGTTGGTCACTTAGGCTGCTTTGATATTTTAGGTTCATATTCTTATCAATAAAATTTTCAGGATAACCATTTTCACTTAGCAACCGTTTAATATTATTAAGTTCCTCATCAAGACATTCAATCGAGCGAATTGCTCTTGTCCTGTGAACCAAGCACTTTATCAGATTGCGTTTCTATTTCAAGGGAACGAAGCTGAAAAAAATGAGTACACTGACAGTCAGTTGATGTAGGTTTTCTATATACACTTCTTCTTATTGTGTCATCCTCTTTTCTGGTCATAAGGACGTCTAAAAATGAAATACTAGGGTCTTTTTCTTTCTCAATAGTAAAATTTATTGCAGGATGAACCTCATTAAATTTATCCAGGATGCTCTTTGCTTCCTTCTCATTTTTCATAATCACAAATGTATCATCCATGTACCGACAATAGAATTCGAGTTCATTAATAACATCCTTCAAAGGCCCATTTTCTAATTTCTCAAGGAAAATGTCGGCTAGAATGGGTCCTAGTGGTGACCTCACTGCCACACAGTCGATTTGTCTATGAATCTCATATCCAAATAGCGCTGTTTATTCCAAATTCTAATTTTTCTTATTTTTTTCGTTCCTTTGTGTTGCGAGTGGTAAAAATAAGGCTTCAAGCTTAAGCTCTGGAGTTTCAGTAGCAGTGACGTCTGTTCATGAAATCTTCGACTGTTGTTTGAAGCTAGACATGGCAAATTATCCTCCCTTGACTGGATTTCTCAAGGCACTAACAACCAGCAGATAGAAATTATAAGTCATATAGCTTTTATATTATTTTATTATACCTTTGGGTGAACTGCTACACTTCCATGCAAAGTTGTGCATTGAAATCTCAGATCCTCTTGCTGTATATATGGAGGATTTCATCATGAGCTGACATCAGTTAGAGAACCATTGGGAAACTAGCTGGGAGTACTGAACAGCTGTTTCGTCCTAGTTTGGAACTCTTCACAGTACGCACCCACCACCAGGGTTCGAACCCAGGACCTTCTGGTTACAAGGCGAGCTCGTAGACCATTGAGCCACTGGGACCCAATCAGTTGGCTCTTGAATTCTAACTTCTGCTATGTCGTGAATTTGCAGAGGTTAGAATTCAAGAACCAGTGGATCGCGTCCCAGTGGCTCAATGGTCTACGAGCTCGCCTTATAACCAGAAGGTCCTGGGTTCGAACCACGGTTGGTGCGTACTGATGAAGAGTTCCAAACTAGGATGAAACGGTTGTCCAGTACTCCTAGGTTCTCCAGTGGTTCTCTAACTGATATCAGCTCATGATTAAATCCTCCATGCAATCAAGCAAAATTCCCACAAAATCAATACTCGTATGTGTATCTCAGCGATTCTTTGAACTATACTTCTAACTGGGATACGTTTCGTTATCAAACTAGACAACACACTCACAGTCATATAAACAAAAAGCTTGATCAACGGACACTTAAGACAACTTTATGGTTTATTCTAAGCTGTACACATATTTATCGTTTACTTTAGAAAGTAGTTGGCGTCTTTTATAGTTGTTAACTCACCTGGAGCTGGTGCTGCTGGAGTGGTACTGCTCGACGGTAATTTCGGTTCTGGTGCTTTATGTTGTTGTGATGGTGTCTGTGGTGCTGGTTTATGAGCAATTGGTTTAATTGGTGCAGGTGTTTCTTTTTGACTAGGCACTACAGCCTTTTTTGTAGTTGTTGGTGTTACAGCAGCTAATATCGATGAACTGGTGTCACGATTTCTTCGAAAATAATATTCACTTGGTAATTTCAATAGGTCAATATAATCACTGTCATACATGCCTTCACCAGTGATAGGATTACGAATAGCTGAAATTGTGAAATGTGTAAATTAAAGATAAATTAATATTGTTAAAAATGGTTTAGACTATATATACGATTCGTTAACTCTTTCATCCTGCCTATCATTCTCTATTGTTCCCCCTTAGTTTTTCCTGGGCTACTGAAGAAAGACTCTACCTTATTACGTAGGGTATTAAAGGTTGTCAGCTGGGTAAGCAACGTGCCATTTAATCAGCTTGTTAATATTCTGGTCGACAGGCTCTTGGACTCATGTGAAATATGGGCTAAATCAATCCATTCTACCTAACTCATACCACCCTCTTCATTCACAACTCTCCCCTTGTATCGCATCAGGCAGGACCACAAGCCTATATAGAGAACTATATGCTCGCACTAGCAAGTACAAAAACTCAACCATACCCTACTTAGCTCGTGTTCTGAGCGATAAAGAAAGCATTAGGCGTGATACCTATAACTTATTAAATAGTCAATAGAACAACTGGATCTCGTCTTTCCAACTCATATCATTTATAAGTACAACGTTTTCTTTTCCTTTTCTCTCTCTTTTTTTCTGTTTTGTGCTGCTTTGTTTCTCTCTTACACACAAACTCTATTTAAAACATTCTTCTTCGTTCTTTCACACTCTGTATATCTCGACCGTTTTGTTACCGCTTATGCCAGTAAATATGCTAGAATCTACTTCACTAGCACCTTCAAACCTTCTGTTCAATTTCGGCTTTGCTACCGACGTGCCCATATGTTCTTGTCAAAACTAAGTGAGATTATCCTTAAACTATGTAGAATTTTATTTATTGTTAATGTACAAACTGGATGGAATTCTATAGTGAAATACTGAGAATTCCATTCTGTATCACAAGTACTGTATTGGAATAAAGCAAATTATATATATATATATATATATATATATATATATATATATATATATATATATATATATATATATATATATATATATAGGGTTTTGTAGGGATTTCGATGAGTTCCAATGTAGATGTCACCTCGTAACCATTAGGTTACAGGTCCATTTGGTTTGTTCATGGGTCATTCATTTCTGTTGTCTAATTGATGTCGACTCTTGACGAAGTCTACATTACAGGTTAAGTTTGAAGAAATATTGTTGAAGCATGTTTCACTTCCGCCTAACATACCTCTTCGTAGACGTCTATCCTCGCGAACTGTCGATGTAGTACTATGATTACTATTATGATTACCATCTATGGACATTTCACTGCAGTCATCAATAGTTGTTGTAGATGTTGTCTCATCATTTGGTTCAGCTGATGTTGACGAAACTAATTGATTTGATGATTGTTTCACTTTTGTTTGATGTTTAATTGGATCAATATTCACTGGATCGATATAAATTTAAATATTTGATTATCATTTTGTTTTGTAAGAAGAAAGGAACTAAATTTTTTAAATCCTTTAACAGTTAAATTTATTTACAGAAAATTATTATTTTTTTCAAAAATCAACTCACTCTGATGACATCTAAAACAAATATAGACTTGAAAAAGTAATGACCTTTGGCTTGGTTGTATTCTCTCGACTAAATGATGGTTTAATTGCGTACGTGTCGTTATCTTTCTAGACAACGTGTTCAGTAGACATTTCAGTTTTGTTTAATTTTTTTTCCTTCACGTTCTCAGTGGAACATAGGAGCTCAAGCTAGTGGCTTGAAGTTTCTGTAGCAGTGTTTAATTTTACAGGATGGGGTTGCTAGCCTCATGCCCAACCTTTCCACTTTACCAGCATTATTTCTGGCTAAGCGACGTAAAGAAGTGAGTCTGTGGCCGGGGATCGAACCCCAGACCATGTACATGGTCGGCGAGCGTCCTAACCGCTATGCTACCGATACAAAGCGTTATCCACTAGACTGCTGCTTTAACTATACAAGAGAGACACTTCAGTATGTGTATATTTATTTATATATATACATGAGAATTATAGTGAGTGAGTCATAGTAAGTATACAGAAAGCATTTCCAAAAATGACTGCAGGCTTTCATCAGTACTAGTCGTCGCCGCATACTGAGGAATAGATGGTCTACTAGAAAGGAGATGTAACAAGGGACTTTGAAGGAGGGCGGGGGTGGAATCAGCCAAGAGTCTATCGCCTAACATTATGAGAAAACTGTTGAGTGAAATTACGCTCTAGGCAACTCCTCAAGTGGCAATCATGGATTTGGGTTAAAGAAAACACTTCAGACAGTGGAGTGAAATGAGAATGTACGCCTGAGGATGTACGTCTACTCGGAACCCATGATCAAAATTAATAAGTGATATTGTCAAAAGAAGGATCACATCATCTCTGAAAAGAACATTCTTTACAGTAACGCTTAGAATAGTGTTCTCCAGTCGCTTACTGATCTGCAGAGGCCTTAAGGACAAGATCTTGTATCTGACTACTTCTATGTGAATATATTAGTTTACCTGCTGTTGTGGAGCTAGGTACATCAGGCTCGTTCGACGGGCACTCTGTCCAAGAGGATTCAAGAACACTATCCAGCATGGTTGCAAAAATGCAATAGTGGTACAATAAGCAGTGCGATAATTGAACACCTGGTTAACACTGATCATTCCATCTCAACAAACGCCTCCTGCTTCAAAGTAATCTACAGAGTCAAGAATAACCTACCAAACGCAATATGGTTTTGTCTTATTTGTATCGCTGAAGCTCTGGCCATTCACATAGAAAAACGAGAGCTGTGCATACAAAAGAGAATTACTTAACTACTTCTACTAACATGGTAGTAACTTTGTTGATTTCGATGACTTAATTTTGTTTGTTTGCCTGTTCTTTAATTGCTTATAATTCTTGTATTCATTTAGAAATTTTACTTAATTTCGTATTCTCTACTTTGTTCCTATATGTATTCTGAGTACAAATCAATCATAAACCTTTTCATGTTGTTGGGTAACTCCTTTTTAACAACTGTTTCTGGCAACTAACCACCTTTTTTACCACCCTAGTTTCATTAACACCCAATTTTATTGACCGTTTTTGTATCATGTAACTCTACCCAAAACTTACCAATTTTCACCTGTTTAGTTAAAATAACCATAATTAATTGTACTTTTTGTTTGACAAACTTAATGTACACATACATACAAAATAACTCATGTATGCATATATATATTTGCGATTGTACAGCTAAGAAAATGAATTCGCCACCGAAAAAAGACTGTTCGTTGAACTTCGTGTTTTGCTTTCATTAATACCAAAGAGTCGGGGTGCATTTTTGTTCCCCAAGAAGGTGGAGAACTATCCATAATTTCCTGATCCTACTCCAGCTGAAGTCTGGCGAACCGAACTGCTGGACATCATTGCAAAGTTCTATGTTGAAACCAGACAGACAACCAGACTCTAGCTGATGTTAGATGATGTCTGGATCCACTTCGAAATCAGTTGAAAGCCTCCAAGAAACCTACTTGAATACGTGATTATCAGAAGTTTTCCCCGAAGGCAACACAATGATACATACTACTGATTAACATGGAATCAAAGTTGTCACTTGTTAAATAATACAGTTTTGAAGTGAGGATGAACTAAACCAAAACTGTTTCGATCATAATTTGTGATCTGCTTGATATGATAAATGGTGCGAAGAAAGTAGATCTATGTTATGCCATGTACTAATGATTGGTGTGAATAGTAGCGGAACTAGGGCTTGCTAGCCATTTCAAAATATTTCAAAAACACCGGAAGGATGTTCCGCTTATCACCAGTGTACCTGGTGGTTTGACCTTGATGGAAAAGCCAAACAACTTGAAACCATCTAAATTAGGACCAGTTACTTGGTAGTCAACAGAGGAAAAGAATTCATGTCAGGGATATTTTTGACCTTATTAGAAAACCATGGTGACGAGTAATTAGTTAGAATTCTGGAGATTTGAAATCATTCGGCCCACTGGCCTTACACCATTTTGATCTGGCTAGCATACACTATTGTTCGATGCAGGTGGTATTCACATATTCATATCAGTGATATATATATATATATATATATGTTAATGTAGTTGTGTTCTCTGAGGTGGGTGGTTTACTTGCGAAGCTTTCATAGTCTTTCTAGGTAACCTCTTCACCTCATACTTCAATTTGTTGAAGTGAGCTTTTAGATTTATCCGCGAGCTTATTATTTATATCTCCTGGTCTGTTTTCATACCCTCTAGTCTACTTGTATTTGGTATTGATTGTTTCCTTGACTTGAAGTTTCGTTCATGAGATTGTTATCTTATGGATTATCTCTTATTAATTGACGATTCACTGAGACACCAGTCTTCTAAAAAAAATTCTCCAGCGTTTTTGGTGTTTCATCTGCCTAATATTTGAATGTTAGTTGTCCCAGTTGACTTGATGTCCCTGGTTGTCTGTATGCAGCGAGGCCATACGAGGGAATGAATGTCATATCTTTTGATGGCTAGTTTGTGTTTGTGAATACAAAGACGAAGAGGACGTCGTACAAATTCGTCAGTGTAGTGTGTTTTTGCAATCGTTGCAATTCATTTTGTGAATGATGTTGGTTTTTGTCTTCTTTCGCTGTTGAGTGTTTTGGTTGACATAGGGCAGGCTGGCTGACTGGCTAGCTGGCTGAGTGAGTGAAGCGATTTTGTTGGTTTATGTACAACATCAATTCCCAAGAGGGTGAAGTCAAGATATAGGGTCCCAGGGGCGCGAATGTTTCAATTGCTAACGACACTTGATATTACTCTGGTTCAAGTATGAACGGCGTTCATCAGTTAGAGAGCGAATTTCACCCAGATCACGCACATTTTTAAGTACTGTTTGGATAGTGTGTTAATAGCTCGTTAGGGTTAGGATCAGGGTTGTAATAAGCATTAGGGTTACGATTTAGGGTTAGGTTTGGGATTGGTGTTATTTGCTTTAATTTATTTTACTATCCACACTCTCTCAGTAGGTAGTCGTCGATCCTCTTAATGGAAAACATAGAAATCCAGCCGAGGGCTTTCAGGGAAGACTGTAAAACAGGATAAAAGCGATAAAGGGGTCACAAAAAAAGCTCACCTTAAGCTACCTAGGTGAATAATACATGTACAGAAACTAATCTAACTTAGCAACTGATACTCCTCATTATAACTAGGACGTATTTTTAAGTCATATTAGGGACATATACCCTGTTTAATGTGTTTTCATGCATTTTCTTGTAAATTAAAGTCACTTTTTGGTGGGATAATCACTTAAATTGATGGCGTTTCGACCCAATGTCACTCATGCGTTCGCATCCCTTGGGACCGTATTGTTTAACTCCCCCCGCCCCCCCCCCCAACGGTTTGAAGAGTCAAAAGCTCACTTCAAATTGAAGTATCTGTTGAATATGTTGCCTAGTAAGGCAATGAAAGCTTCACAAGTAAACCATACACCTCAGAGTATACAACTGCATCAAAGTCATCCAACTGAGCTACAAATCTCCATTATATATACGATCGTACTGAATGACAGGAATGCATGAAAATATTTGTGTTTTTTCTCATCTCATTACAGCTTTTTTCATCTGTTTTAAGACGAATACACCAAAAGCAATAAACTGTAACTGCTCACATAACTTCCTGCAACACGAAAGGTAAGGAAACAGTTTGGAATTTGCAGCCGATTTCTCTGTCCAGACTCACTTTTTTCTGATAAAAAGATATTTCAAGAGAACAATACGGAAATTGACACTGAAACTCACATCGCCAACTGTCTCTGGACTAAAAGTTAGTTAAAGAATAGTACAGATCGGTAGCACAGCGGTAGAATGCTCGTTAACCACGCCTCATGTTGTCCGGGGTTCGATTCCCGGTCACCGATGCTCTCCCAAACCTCGCTAAGCTAGTAATAAGACTGATAAAGGGAAGGTTAGGCATGAGGCCAGCAGCAACCCCATTTCGTAAAAATAAATATCACTGCTACCGAAACTTCAAAGCTCTAGCTTGTAGCCACCCTATATCCCACTGGGAATGTAAAGAAATTAAAAAAATAATTAAAACGGATCACCTGAACAATTAAATCTATTTGTTTTCAAATCTCGGTTTACAGAATTGTATTGGCTTCAAAAGTGATCACAAACAGAATTCATTTGATGATGAACCACTGAACAGCTGTTTCGCCCTTGTTTAGGACTCTTCAGAAATACGCACCCATGATTTCATAAGCAGGAATTGAAGCCAAGAACTTCAGAGTTCACGGCACGATCGGGATCCAATGGTGAACTATCAGAACTTAGAATTGCTGGGTCATTGTATTTCATCTCAGTAGCTGAGTGGTCGACCAGCACATTTCGTAGCCTGAAGTCTCCAAAACTAGGACGAATAACCTGTGTAATACTTTCTGCTTTTTCCCAATGCTTCAC